TTAAAAGTCATTTTCCCAAAAATGGTACCCCTCAGATTTGCTTGATATTTTTTCTCATGAAAGGCAATATAATTACCTAACTTTTCTTCATACATCGCAAAGTGGGCGCTTTTAAGGAAAAAAAGTTGTTCGAACAACAACTTTTTCATGTTAATTTTTTTTTAGCGTGTTTCACTCAAAGTCGAATAGTAATACGCGCACAACCTTATTAAAATTCGATTAAACTTTATGGGTATACTTTTCGATAATCTGGGCGAAATCTAGCCTAACATTTGAAAAGGGTACAGAGAAGTTACCTGCAAATCGTCCAATAAGAGTTCAGAACAAAACGTTCTAATGAGGAACAGCCATCTCAGCATGGTTTGCACTTTCCTGTGATGGATTGTATTATAATATATGCATACACTCTATCCAACTTCTATAAAACCACCCTCAAATTGTTCCAAATCAACAGGTAAACTAAGTAAAAATCACTTAGTATGTTTTATTCATGAAAAGATTTCAATTCATGTATTTGTGATTAATTTAATTAGAAAAATAATCATTCATTTATTTTTATGTATTAGGTGTGTCCATTAGTAAGCAATATGCATATATGTTTATACCTCATCTCTCAAGTGAATACATATAATAGCGCAGGTAACTTAACGATTATTTAAGGCATGCCTAAAATAATCGTTAAGTTACCTGCTATATAGCAGTTATATAACAACGCAGATAGTCACATGAGAGATATAAGGTATAAACTTAAAGCACCGCAGTCTGTTTCTACCGACATAATCTAATATTTAAGTTTGGTGATATCACAACAATGCTCATAGTTGCTGTAGTGCATAGTTGTTGAAAGTGTAGTGCTGCATAGTTGTTCAAACGAAAAAGTGTTTATATATACAACAATGGAAAAATCTGCTGAATTGATTATTAAAAGGGTGCAATGTAGTGCCAACATAAACAATCCCAATTGCAGCCGCAATAATTTACGTAATTTATCATCAAGTCTCATAGAGAAAATACATTCATGGGGCTTTGATCATCAATTGGATGTAACAATGCGTATTTGTGAATCGTGTCGTGGAATTTTAGTGCACAATAGGACACCTCTCCCGAAAAAGAGGCGATCGGATGGAAAAGAATCAAGCCATGCTCGGAAGTTTGAAGAGCCGCAACCATCAACAAGTCATCAGCAATCAGAACATCAGGAATTTGATGATACACTAGGTAAATAATAATAACTTTAACTGTTTCAACTGTGTGGTTTAAGGATTGTACATCGAAGATACAACTTCATTTTCAACATTTTTTTAGAGCACGAGCTGGATGAACCGCTTATCGTACAAATTTGATCGATTGGTAGGCCAACCTCGGTGAACAATCTATCAAATTTTCACGACTGTACGATATGCGGTTTATGCAGCTCGTGCTCCAAACATGGGGAAAATTCAGATGCGGCTTCGATGTACCGTAAACGGGGATGTCTTTGATAATGGAGGTAACTTTGATAATGCAGCTAATCCAAAAAGTTATGACTTAATGCTCTTCGTATTCATTATTTTGGAAGGGAACATCGGTTTCCTATCCAAAATATTGCGTACGATGTGCCTTAAGTCATAAATTTTTGGCTTAGCTGCATTACCAAAGTTACCCCTATTATCAAAACCACCCCCGTTCATGGTACTATCACCTTAACAGCGTTATATATTAATGTGTGGTAATATTTTTTTTTCTTTTCTTTAATTTTACAGATACAGATCCATCGCTAGAATCAATCCCATCAGCGGATCAGATCCAAGGTCCATATAATGTGGAACAATTCAATTGTATAGCTTCAACCTTACAGTTATCACCAATTTCATCGAGAAGTATGAGAAGTATGAATTATCGTGTTCAAAAATCTGCAGAGATCACAAAGGCAGTGCGTAAAAATATATTTGGGATGGATTCAGACGATGTCAACAAATCAAATGATTTTGACGAAATGATCATGCAGTTAAAGGAGAAATTTAATTTGCCTTCTACGAGTACAAATGACAAATTAAAAGTGTTATCAGTGCTCCCTAAATCATGGTCAGTGAATCAAATAGTTAATGAGTTTAATGCACCCCATCATACAGTGAAACAGATGAAAAGGCTAGTCAGAGAACAAGGTATTCTTTGTAGTAAGAAAGCAAGAAGTGGTCATGGATTTAATGATACTGAAAAACAAATTGTTTTAAATTTCTTTGACAGTGATGATATTAGTAGGCCTATGCCAGGAAGTAATGATTATGTTTCTGAATATCGAAATGGATATAAAGAGCATGTTCAGAAACGTTTATTGATGATGTCTCTTAAAGAGGCTTTTATGATTTTTGAAGAGAAATACAAAAGTGTTAAAATCGGATTTACTTCGTTCACTCAGCTCCGACCAAATCATTGCATACTGTTGGATAGTACAGGTACACATAATGTATGTGTCTGTACTATACATGAAAATGTTAAATTGATTATTAATAGTGTAAAATTTGATTCATATAAAGAAATTGCAGACAAAATACTTTGCAGTAGTCCTATTAGAACCATAGATTGTTTTTATCGTACATGTGAAGAATGCATTTCCACAGATAGTATCGTGAGGGAACTTACATCAGTATTAGAAGCAGATGATATGGAAGAAGTTTTATTTCAACAGTGGTTGACTACCGACCGTTGTAATTTGGAAACTATTATTAAACCTGCAGATGAGTTTGTTCAATATTTGACGGAAAAAGTTGAAAAGCTCATAACCCATGATTTTATTCATAAAGAGCAATCATCTTACCTAAGTAATAAAAAAAATTCTCTTCAAAACGGTGAAATTTTAGTGATTTGCGACTTTTCTGAAAATTATTCATTTATTATTCAAAACTCAGCACAGGGGTATCATTGGAACAATAATCAAGCTACGATACATCCTTTCGAAATTTACTACATAAAAGAAAACAAGTTGGAAAATTTAAGCTTTATTATTATTTCAGAAGTATTGACCCATGATACAATAGCAGTTCAATTATTTATATCAAAATTGTTAGATTTCATTAAACAATCTATTAGTTTCACAAAAATTACTTTCATGTCAGATGGAGCAGCGGCTCATTACAAAAATAAAAAGAATTTTGCCAGTTTGTGCAACTTCAAGTCCAAGTATGGATTGGAAGCAGAATGGCACTTCTTCGCAACGTCTCATGGGAAAGGCCCATGTGACGCAATTGGAGGAACTCTCAAACGAATGGCAAAGAGAGCAAGTCTTGCTCGTATGGAAACACAATCACAACTCCACAAGAACTGTATGACTGGGCAGTTAAACAAACAGATACAAGCATAACAAAATTGAACTTCTGCTTCATATCAAATGATCAATACACAAAGATGTCCGATGAACTCAAGGAGCTGTTCAGTCATGTAAAAACTATACCTGGTACACAAAAATTTCATTGTTTTGTACCTATTTCTCAAAACATAATTTCTACTAAGCGATTTTCACATTCAAAGGAAACTCCGAAAAATTTCACTCTGTTTCCGATAGACTAATAATCAATGAAAAACTCAAATTATGTATGGAGAATTATAGGAAAATAAATTATGCACTAAACAAAAACACTAGAGTTTTCATTTATTAAAACACCATTCGAAATGTAGGAAAATCCTCTGTATTAGGCCCTTTCAAATGTTAGGCTAGATTTTTGTTTTAAGCACGCCCAGATTATCAAAAGGTCAAAATCTTTATGCTCATTAAGTTTCAACGGATTTTAATAAGGTTGTGCGCGTATTACTATTCGACTTTGAGTGAAACACGCTAAAAAAAAATTAACATGAAAAAGTTGTTGTTCGAACAACTTTTTTTTCTTAAAAGCGCCCACTTTGCGATGTATGAAGAAAAGTTAGGTAATTATATTGCCTTTCATGAGAAAAAATATCAAGCAAATCTGAGGGGTACCATTTTTGGGAAAATGACTTTTAATTTTTAAATATATTTTTTTAGAGTGTAGAAACCAATTTTTTAATTTATTTAAATTTTTTTATAAAATTTCAGATTATTTGCTAAAAGTTCGCCATACATCACTATTTTGTAGGGCTTGTCATTTTTAAGCTATATCGATTTGAAAAAAAAAACGATAAAAAACTTTGACCCTTATCAAATGTTAGGCGAGATAAATTTTGAAAAAAATAAGTACTCAAAGTTGCTTAGAATTGCTAAGTCTCCACACCCACAAAGTTTCATAAGGTTCTGAGAGGGTGCTGCCAACTCCGAAGACGAGTTGGCGTGAAATCCGTCATATACTAAAAAAGATTATCTTAATACAATCAAAAATCCCACATATTCAGTTATCAAACTTTGATAACCGGGTATTACAGTTTGTTATCAATTTGGTGTTAATCTATGCTCGGGACGGTAATCGATTGAAATTAGGCTGATGCACATTTTTTTTTTCACCACCTCCCCTTCAAAAATTAGGAAATATTTAAGGGGCACAAAAAATCGGGTTTATTGAAAATCGTCACTCGCTCTGCGCTTTATCCCAAAACTACACATGTATATATTTTTTTTAATAATTTATTATTAAATCAGTTGTTTGGACATTATTTTTTTCACGATCCTTGTTATTTATTTTTGCCGCCTCACTTATTTGAGTGATGTTAGACATAAAAGTAAAATAATATTTACATCAGCCTTATGTGCAAAAAGTTAATATCAGTTAATATCTCATGAACCTAACCTACCTGGCATATATGAAACCAGAGAGCTTGCTAAATGGTTAAAATTTTGATTACGCTTCGACAAAGTTGTTCGGCAGGTAATAGGCAAAATTAAGCAGTGACTGGATTTTAGACATGTAAATTCATATTTTTTGCCGTTTCCCATACATTTTTCTGTATGCCATATACGCTTATAATAATGTGCGTTTTTTGTGTGTGTGATAGAATGTGTAGAAACAAAGCGCACTACTTGTTACTATTTTTGAGAAGAATCGAACCAAACTTACCTTTTCATGATATGCAGCCAGCATTGTTGGTAGCCAACGACTTTCACGCGAATCAGTCAGCAGGAAAATCACATCATGTTCCTTGATTAGGTTTTCCAGATTCTCTAGAGCTTCGTTAGTTTCAGTAAACTGTGATTCACCGACGGGATGCCCTGGCATAGGAATTTTCAACCAATGTCCGGTAGATAGCTATATTTGTAAAAATCAAAATTCATTTATCGCCCAATATACTTTCCCATACAAATTAGTCAAGGGCTTTGATAAAATAGAGATTATTTAGAGCTGTACACACGATCGTACAATTAATAAGTTCAAAACTTTGTTTGGATAGGGGAAGGCGGAAGAAATCGCCACGCGCAAGATGAGCACCCTTTATGATCCTAAGATGTTCCAAAAATTATATAGGAATATTCAAGAAAATGATGAAAATTTGCCTACTGAAAAAATCCACTCTTTGTTTAAGCATTTAACCTTTTCGAGTTTGTTTTGTTACAACTTTCAATTACTTTTTGAACCTGGTGCGAGTATTTTGTTTTGATAAACTCAAGGAACTCAACCGAATACTCGCGGTCTTCTCGAGGTTAGTGGATGACAATTTTATGGATGTGGAAAGGGAGAGGCAGATTTGAAGTATTACTAATGATACAAATATTTCTCTATTCCTAAAATATGTACTTAATCCTATTCACTTGATATCATCAGTGTAATTATACTATTATTACAAAACAAACATTTAAAAAATACACACACACACTCACACACACAAAATACAAACTAAACAGAAGGTTAATCAAACTTACAATCTAATTAATTCTTCAAGAAAACAAATATGAGTTTCATAAACTCCAGATCGCGTCCAGCGAAAATATCCAGAACTGGAACATTTGGTTGTCTACCTCGAGCCCGAAGGGAATCGTTCAGCTCAGATCTGACTCCACGATGCTCAGTACATGACCAAATAATTTTTTTTTAACTCTTTATTTGTTTCAAATTCAAAATAAATTACATTTCATTTTAACCTAGGTGCTCCAGTTACTTACAGTAACTTACCAGCCTTAATTGTTATGATATATATCTAAGTGTTTTTACATTGTTCCTGTCTTGGCAATTCAGTATTTTAAACAGGTTTTTTTTAAACCTGCATGCCAGTATAACAATTGATATCTTAAAACTAAAAAACTAAAACTAAATGAAGTAATGAAATTGGGTTGTTAGCGGAATGCTAAGTAAAACAGCAAAAGGGTTTATCTTCCATTTAATTCCACTTAATTAATTTTGGTTTCCAAAATGGTATCCACTTTGGGGATTTTCCTTATTAGAGATTTGTATAGATTTTTCTCCTTTAGCTTACTTAAATCTTTGGTTTTTATTAGTTAGGTAGGTTCCGATTCAACACATTGTAGTTTCATTTTTATACCTATGATCTTGACTTTTTTACCTAGGGGATGAGTACTTAAGGGGGTTAGATTTTGATAAGTTCTTTAGTGGGAATGATACTGATGAAGACTGCACATTGTAGTCGAAATACGTATCTGTCATGGATACCAAAATTAATTAAGTGGAATTAAATGGAAGATAAACCCTTTTGCTGTTTTATTTAGCATTCCGCTAACAACCCAATTTCATTACTTCATTATGATGGCTACCAAGCCTTTGGGGATTTTCCTTATTAGAGATTTGTATAGATTTTTCTCCTTTAGCTTACTTAAATCTTTGGTTTTTATTAGTTAGGTAGGTTCCGATTCAACACATTGTAGTTTCATTTTTATACCTATGATCTTGACTTTTTTACCTAGGGGATGAGTACTTAAGGGGGTTAGATTTTGATAAGTTCTTTAGTGGGAATGATACTGATGAAGACTGCACATTGTAGTCGAAATACGTATCTGTCATGGATACCAAAATTAATTAAGTGGAATTAAATGGAAGATAAACCCTTTTGCTGTTTTTTTTTTAAACTAAATCTTATCTAAGTATAAAAAGAATTAATCGTTGCAATTGAGGATTGCAACGATTTTTGCCTGAAATTATTAATTATTTTATTGGACATTTGTTCTAAAGCCTCAACATTCGAAATTCTATGTACCTCGGTAGTACTGTACCAGGGAGGAAACTTCAAAATCATCTTTAAAGCTTTGTTCTGAATCCTTTGAAGTGCTTTTTTCCTGGTAGTGCACCAACTAGACCATATTGGCACAGCGTAAAGCATGACCGGTCTAGAAACTTGTTTAAATATTAAAAGTTTATTCGTCAGGCAAAGTTTGGATTTCCTGTTTATAAGAGGATACAAACATTTTATATATTTGTTACATTTGGCTTGAATGCCTTCAATGTGATCTTTAAAAGTTAATTTTTGGTCAAGAACTAATCCAAGATATTTCACTTGGTTTGACCAGGAAATTGGAACTCCGTTCATAGCGACTATGTGACTACTACTAAGTTTCAAAAACGAAGCTCTAGGCTTATGTGGAAATATTATAAGTTGAGTTTTGGAAGCATTGGGAGAAATCTTCCATTTTTGTAAATAAGAAGAGAAAATATCTAAACTTTTCTACAGTCTGCTACAAATAACACGAAGACTTCTTCCTTTAGCGGAAATGCCTGTGTCAGCGAACAAAGATTTGTGGCAACCCTGAGGCAAATCAGGGAGGTCCGAAGTGAAAATGTTATACAATATAGGCCCAAGAATGCTACCCTGAGGAACTGCTGCACTAACAGGTAGTCGATTGGATTTGGAATTTTGGTAATTTACCTGCAGAGTTCTGTCAGTTAAATAATTTTGAACTAATTTCATAATGTAAAGTGGAAAATTAAACTTTTTCAATTTAGCAATCAAACCTTCATGCCAAACACTGTCAAATGCTTTTTCTATGTCTAGAAGAGCAACTCCAGTTGAGTGGCCTTCAGATTTGTTTGAACGAATTAAATTGGTAACTCTTAAGAGTTGATGAGTAGTTGAATGCCCATGGCGAAATCCAAACTGCTCATATGCAAAAATTGAGTTCGTATTGATGTGAAGCATCATTCTATTCAAAATTATCTTTTCAAAAAGTTTACTTATTGAAGAAAGCAAACTTATTGGACGGTAGCTAGAAGCTTCAGCGGGATTTTTATCCGGCTTCAAAATTGGAACAATTTTTGCATTTTTCCATTTATCAGGAAAGTATGCCAAATGGAAACATCTGTTAAATAATTTTACCAAGAAAGACAAGGTACTCTCTGGGAGTTTTTTGATGAGGATATAGAAAATTCCATCATCACCTGGAGCTTTCATATTATGAAACTTGTTAGTTATAGACCTTACTTCGTCCAAATTCCCGAGAGAAAATATTCAGATAATCCCGAGCAACCTGATTCTCAATAGGACTAGTAAGACCCAAACTGAAATTATGGGAACTCTCGAATTGCTTAGCAAGTTTCTGAGCTTTTTCCAAATTTGTGATCAAAATTTTACCACCTTCTTTAAGCGCTGGAATAGGCTTTTGAGGTTTTTTCAAAATTTTTGTGAGTTTCCAAAAGGGTTTGGAACTCGGGTCTAATTTAGAAATATTATTTTCAAAAGTTTTGTTCCTCAGGGCAGAGAATCGCTTTTTAATTTGTTTTTGCAAATCCCGCCAGATAACTTTCATGGCAGGATCGCGTGTTCTTTGATATTGTCTCCTACGGACATTTTTAAGACGGATCAAGAGCTGAAGATCATCGTCTATTATAATTGAATCGAATTTAACCTCGCATTTTGGTACTGATGCAGCTCTTGCTTCAACTTTGGTTTGCAAAGGAATGTTTGGATCGAAGTTATATTCCATAAATGTTCGATATTGCTCCCAATCAGCTCTATGGTAATTGAAAATAGAGCTGTTGGGATTACAAATTATTTCTTGGGATATTTCAAAAGTTACTGGAAGGTGATCAGAACCGAAGTCAGCATGGGTAACCAATTGGCTACAAAGTTGACATGAATCAGTTAAGACCAAATCAATAGTTGAGGGATTTCTTGCAGAAGAAAAGCATGTTGGGCTGTTTGGATATTGAATAGTGTAATAACCTGCAGAACAATCACCAAACAGAATATTACCTTTGGAATTGCTTTGAGCATTATTCCATGAGCGCATTACAATCACCAATAATGAAGAATTTAGACCTATGACGGGTAAGTTTCTGGAGGTCACCCTTGAGAAAATTCTTTTTCTGGCCTACGCATTGGAATGGCAAATAGGCAGCTATAAACGTAAGTTGTCCAAAAACTTTGGTTTCAAATGAAGAAAGAATTTTATGTTTAATTCGTCTATGAACAATGATGGCAACGCCACCACAGGATCCATCAAGACGATCATTTCTATAGATTAAATAATTTGAGTCCTTCTTAACCTTAATGTCAGATTTAAGGAACGTTTCAGTTATAACGGCAATATGCACGTTATGAACTCTTAAAAAGTTAAATAGCTCGTCTTCATTATCTTTAAGAGATCGAGCATTCCAGTTTAAAATATTTAAAGCTTTAAAATCCATTACTGAATTTTAAAGTCATGACAATATTATTAGAAAATTTTACTCCAGTTTGAATAGCATCAAACATGGAGTTAGATTTAAGCATATCAGAAATCATGTCAATTAATGAATTCTGTAAAAATTCCATTTTAGGGGCAGTAATGCTTCCTAAGTCAAAATTGTCAAAATTTCCGTTAGAACGTTGGTTAGTATTTTGATTTCTACCCGCTGCAATAGCAGCATAGGTAGCTCCATTAACTCACTGAACATTGTTAGCAGCGAGGGGAGTAGGTACAGATGAAACATTTGAAGCAGGGGTGATATTTGTACCTACGGGTACGAATGTAGAATTTGTTCCTCGCTGACCGTTGTTAACAGCAGAGGAATTTGTACCTGGTCGGAAACGTGGAGCGTTTCCTACCTGGCGGTTAGAACGAAGTAGGATCGCTTTGCGAGTCTTACATTCCCAAAAATTGGATTTGTGGTTTCACCACAATTTGAACATTTAAATTTCTTAGGATCTTCCTTCACAGGACAGTCGTCCTTTGCGTGAGAGGAATCACCACAATTCATGCATTTAGCTGGCATGTAGCAATTTTTTGTTCCGTGACCCCATCCCTGGCACTTACGGCACTGAGTGAGGTTTTGGAAATTTCCTCCAGTCTTCCTGAAGTGTTCCCACTTCACTCGGACATGGAGCA